AAAAATTATAAATTGAAAGCTCACACATGTTCTTGGATTTGTTCATGCATTCTGCAGCCTGCTGCCTTGCCAGACCCTGGGCTGTGCCTGTCTGGTTCTCTACAAGACATTTCTGACGACAGGCTTATGGAAAGTGGAGTAACGGCACTATAGGACCTTATTCAAAAAATGTATCCTTGTATCCTTTCAGAATACAACAAATCTGGCTCTATATCCTCAAAAAACAGAGTGCTTCTTGTTAGAGTGGCAGTCACCAACCTTGTGGAGAGGCGAGGATTGTAAGTTATATCAAGTTAAACTAATAATTCTATCTACAGTAATTGACTCTGTTCCAAATGTCCCCGTTTTTGGTCAGATGTTTAAGCTGGTATAAAGGCCCAATGTTTGTGTAACTATTTCACAAGTCAGAAAAAAAATGTTTTTATTTGCAGTTACCCATCTACTGATGACAAGTTGTGTCTTGCCAAGAATATTGTCTCCATCTTTCCTAAACTCATCGTCAAAATCCAGGATCATAGTGAAGGATATGTAAGTAAAAATAATTTTTGGACTGTTTTTTAACTAACTCATGACTTCAGTGCCATGTGCCTTTTATATGGCTTACATTTGTGCCATCGGCTTGCGCGTGTAGTAACACACTGATTTGAGAGCAGATACCGGATCAATATGAACATACAATAATTTGAACCGTGTGCACTCAAATCACACACACGCTCACACAGCTCCCTCCTTGCTTGCTCAAATTCTCTTCCTGCTTGTGCTCGACTCCCTCCCTCCTCTCAACTTTGTGTGCTCCCGCGGTTCCCTCCCATCTCTCAGCTTCCCCTCCGCTCGCTTGCAGCTGTCTCTGCGCTCTCAACCCAAAAGTTGTATGTAAATGAACCACATCACCAGCCAATCACAGACAGGCTTTTTTCATCCAATCAAAGCACTTATTGCAAATCTACTAAACAAGAGGCTGAAGTGACAAAATCTTAGATACAGGCCCMTTAARGCAGCAAAAGATAATAATAAGATTTATTATATATATTTTGTAGCCCAGAATATTGTAAGCATAAAAATATGCTTACTGTCATTGTGTATTTTAGGCAATGCATCTCAGTAATCCAGGTATAAAAAAAAACATAAGTTTAACTATATTATCTTTTGCCAAAAGATAATATAGTTAAATTTTGTAGCCCAACAATTTTTAGCTAAGCATAAAAATGTGGTCACTGTCATTGTGTATTTTAGAAAATGTTTTTAAAATACATTAGGATTAGGAT